TCATGCCTGAACAAGTCAAAATCAAGTTTTGTCAAAAGCAGAAATGAGCCAGTGTGCAGCCTTCATCAAGAGAGTAATTAAAGCCATTAATTATTTCTCAGAATTGGAGGATTTTATAAAGGAACAGCACTGAAGGAGAAATAGAGAGACAGAAAAGGTGATGGGGTAAAAACTAATGCATAAAGTATTGGCGGGGGGCGCGGTTGCTGACAGGCATGGAAATGGTAAAATGGCACAAATGGTTTGCAACTTTTTCTTCTTCTTCTGCTTAGCACCTGTATTTAGGGTTTGGGGAAGGGATTCCATGATTTGACCAAATTTTCTTTAGGACTGCAAATCAGAACTGATGTATCAAAAGTTTTTTTTCAATTTGCCATTCCCTTGGGAACTGATCAATTGATCAACACTAAATTAAAAGATCTCTTCTCCACTGAACATTCTGAGCCCTTGTGTGCCTGGCCACGAAATCCTGAGTGACCTGAGACAACTAACTAGCTTATTTTTATGACTTGCAACATCTGATGCAAGTGGAAAAAACCCCAAGCTGATTAAATCCACTGTGTGTAAATGCACAGGTTGCTGGGGGCTCCTCTCTATTTGATCTTCCACACAATGATGATCATATTAAGGACAGAACACAAGGGTCAGGGCAAATAATTTGCAATAATCTTGTTTTTACACAGATTGCAACACTTTCTGTCAATAGTATTGAGGGCAGGAAAGTAAAACAAATCAGATCAAAAGTTTAAAAACTGTAATATTTGAACATATTATTGCGTACAGAAGTGCTCATATACATCAAAGTCCTGCTTGTACCAAAGTCATAATCTGTACTACATTAAATGTAAGAAAAAAGTTGATAAAGTTTTCCTGATGGACAAACAAATGACAGAACATGTATTGCTGTCTCTCAGGGAATACAGGATTAGGCAGATGAGGGTCCTGTCACTCTTTGTAGGTAGATCAGGGTGAGTAGTTATCTGTATTTAGAATGAGGAGGAGACAGGTTACTGAATATTTTTAAGGCTGTGGCAGACACATTCTTGACTAACAAGAGACTCAACAGGTGTTGGGGGTACGCAGGAATGTGGAGTTAAGGTCACAATCAGATCAAGTCATGATCTTGTCAAATGACAGAGAAGGCTGAGAGCTGAATGGCTACTCTTTCTCACTGGTAGGTCTGTCTGAATGAGATAGAAACTTTTTTAATGACTGTAGTTGTCAGAGTGCAGATGTGATTGGAGTCACAGCTTTTGATAGTACAGCCCATCTCTTGCACTGTGCAGTCCTCCTAAAATTTTCTGACAGCCACACATTAACACTGCTACTTATGTGTGGCCTCGCTGTCTCTAAGCAGTAGGGTCTGAGATCTCTGCAGCTGCGCAACTTAGTGAGGATCACTAATGAACCTATACCTCCACTAGCCATACTTCATCTTCTGCCCGCATGGGTCATTGCTCAGCAAATTTGTAGTGGGAACCTGGAGGACTGTTCCTCTTTAGTTCAGTTATAGCTGTACTGCCAACCTAGTGTTGCTCAGATGACTCAGCAAATCTACTTGAAATCAGTATACCACTGTCTTACAATTCTAAATCTACAATAGGAATTATATCCAAAGATCTCACATCCAAAACAAAGCCACAATCCAGGCCAGGTCAATCTACAAGCTGCAACTAACCCGATCAGTGCTGGCTGTCCCTCAATTTAAGACTGACATCTGTTCAGGACGGTGAGTTTCCGCTGTGGGTATTCAAGTGACTGAATAGGCTGATTCCTGACCCACAGATTTCTGGGCACATCGGCAGGATGTTCCCTGAACTGGAGGGATCTGGATTTCATTCTTTCTTTTCCTTCTCAGCTGTTGCTCTGCCTCATTATTAGATGTTTGGATTCAATGTGTGACTTAACTTGATTGGTAGCAAGCTCTTCCAAGTTATTAATGTCAACACTGCCACACTTCAGGGAAAACTGCAGTGTGTCGTTTCAGGGTTTGTTCTGTCCTCTGTATGCTGGTCAGTTGAGTGTTACCGAAAGAGGACCCAGCAGGGGGAGACACTTTTCAGGCACCAGAACACTATGGATGTGACCAACGATGATCAGTGACTCATACAGAGATGAGGAAGGGTTTTGCTCAAGTGAGTTTTATGCTCATCTTATCTTTGCCAAAAATAAATAACTCATTTAATTTAAATATCCCTTAATGGTTAAAGGGAATAAGTGTACAATTAACACCAGTTTGGTGAACATGCCCTTTGCTCCAGCCTTGCATCCTCTTGCTCTCACCTTCCTCTGCCCTTGTCTAATCTCCTTCAAACCCTGCTCTTTACCCCATCCCCTGCTCTCTTTAATCCCTTGCTTCCTATTTTCTTCACCCTTACCCTTTCCCCAGTGTCCTCTTCTCCACTCACCAGCATCTCAACCCTTCCTATCTCTCCCTTTACTCTTTCCTTTCCAAGTATTCGCCTTTATTCAATGATTCCTTAAAGATGAAAACTGCCTTACTGTCAAAAAACATCAATAATATATTTACATAAATTAACCCCACAAACCCACTGCTCAACAGGTCTGATCAATCACTGGCAACCCACAGAGCCAGCTTTGACTCTTGGCTCTGATGTACCTCTGGTCTCAGGAAAACACTAAGCTTGTGTGAGTGAGAGTGTGCGTGTGTTAGTGTGTATGCATGTGCTTGTGAGAGTCTGCACGTTTGACTGTGTGTACATGAGTTGTGTGAATGTGTTTGTGAGTATGCAAGTGAGTTTGCATGAATACGCATTTACTGGAAGGTGTGGGAAGAACTCCTTTATTCCTCTGCCAAAGCTGAGGAAGGTTTTAAAATCACTTTGCACAGTGTCCAAATGTTAAAACTATCCCTGTGTAACTCTGATACAGTTCAAGTCTGAAACTCTTCCTCTGGGCAGCACACAGAGAGCTGAAATATGAATTTATTAGACCAGCACAGAGTTGAAAAGAAGCTGAATCCTTCTTTAGAATTTTGGTTTTGATTTTATGCTAATCAAAATCAACTCAGCTCAGCATCAGGTTTGGGGGAGTTTAAAAGGTCAAGCTGCAGTGCACTGAACACAGTACGAATTTGAGGTCCTCCTGTTCATATTTAGTACGAGCTACTAAAAGACCCTTTAAGTTAGCCCAAATTCTTAAAGCTAGTTTGTAAGGCTGACTTTCTTTAGTGTCATGTAAAGAAATGGGCAGTGAATCAGAGAAAAAGAGGAGGTAGCTGGACCTGAATAAATATGCAGATTACTTATTAATTAATTAACCTATAATTTGAAACCAGTTACTGATTGCACAAGCATGATCCATTGAAGCACAATGTTTAACCCTCATTGAAACATAAACTTACAGCTTTACTTACAAAGGCCAATTCTCACCACCTTATCAGAATTGAGACTCACCATGCAACATTGCTTTGGCTGAATACACTAATACAATATGACACCATTCTTCACTCCATTCAAGGCAGCCTACATAATCCTCTATTTTATTTTGGGATTTAACAAGGGAGCCTAAACAGTTAACTTTCACTGTGCTCGTGTTCATATTAAACAAAGCAAGGAATTAACAAAGTCATTTTAGTACCACTGATAAAGTTACATTTCGTTGAAACTTTTCAACATGCAATCACCAGGAGATTTTGCAAGAATCCAAATTCAAGAAGAACAACATTTACATATTGCATGAGAGGAGAGGGTTAACCCTGTTGGCAAGTGGACTCCGAATCTATAAATATTGGTCTTCCTCTTGAATTGGTATTCTTACGAATTGTCCTGATGAGGACAAGATGTAAAGCTTCAAAAAAAAACGTAACTTTTCAGCAATATTCAAGCACTATGTTATTTCATTTTAAAACATTGGAGCATAAGATAGCCACTGAAGACACATGACTGAAAGGTGGTTCCAGGTTTAAAAATGTCTTCTTTCTTAACAAGTGGATTAAATGGTAGTTAAACAGATCCAGAAAAATCTCCAAGGAAGCATTCTTTCCCATATTCCCTCATGTAAGTCAGGTTTATCACCTGATAGCCAGCAGCTAAACTGGGCACACCTGGTTCTGAACTAACTACACAAAAAGGCACAATTGAGGATTTAAGTTGGTGGATTCAGTATTCTCCCTGCTTCTCTCCCTGTGTGAAAAATTCGAAGAATTTGTTACTTAGTCTTTGAATGGAGTATTTAATGCACATTGGTACACGCACACACACACACCCCCCACTGTGAAAACAGCAGTTAGCTTATAGTATCATAAGAAGAATATATTTTAAAACTAGTATAATACTTATTTTCTGTTTTATAAATGAGTCAAATAAAAATTAAATGTGCCCCTTCTAGCTGAGTGATTAAATATACTGTTGGTGTTGAACCAAGGGATTCACATGTTCAAATCCAACATATACTGCCAGCTAACTCTGACAGGACAGAAATCACCTGGTGCCTAAGTGCCCTGGGCTGGGGTCAGGCTTGAGCAGCAGACAGGCTATTGAAATTCATCCATCTAGGTTCACCTAAAGAATGGAGAGGCTGAAGTCTATGGAATGAGACAAAGTCTTCATGGTGAAAAGTAGTTAGCAAATATGGGTCCTACCTGTTTATATCGATACCTCTGGGCCCACAGAGATTTTATTGACATAATCAATGTCATAAGTTTCAAAAGGCCCTGCTGAATTGGGGATTCACACCCTGCCCCCTTTCCCTTGCCAACACCAAGGGAATCTGTTGAAAATGTGGGCTGGGCTCCACATTTGGATACCCGCTGCCATTTGAAAATGGCTCCAGATCCTGATTCAGCCCAAATCTGCAAAAAGCTTGGCCGAGTTATTTTGAATCTTGAGAGAAGTTGAAGAAAGATGCTGAAATATATGGACCTTTTTGAATTGGTGAGGTAAGGGCAGAACAAAGACTGATTGTCAACTTATCAGGGTAATCCTTTATGTCAACTTCAAGATAACAAGTGGATAAAACTTCAAAATGGAACAGGCAAATAGAAGAATGGAGTGGGACTTTATTTGTGGTTGAGTTAAGTAAGTTGTCGGCCTATGCAGGATCGATCTAAATGGGAAGGACTGTAGAAAGGAGATGATTACCGTCCAATTTTACTGCAATCGTACAGCAATTACCAGCAGGATGTTTAAAGTATACAAAGTTTACATTATTATTTTTGTTAATGACAGACAAAACTTCAGGATTGCAGAGCTCGTCAAATAAAAGTACTAAAACCGGAAGAAGCAGAAAACAACAAACATGTCCTATGATGCTGCCCTCTACATTGGCCTTGCTGTCAATGATGCACAGGGCATGTGCCATAGATGGGATTCTGCATGATATATATGAGATATTCCTTCTGTATGCACTACGCCTCTTTTCAAACAGTTTAGGTGTGTTACACATCGGCTTCATATACAGTACTCTCACTGTAGAATCACCAAAACAGACCAGTTAGCATATGTCCCATGAATATGGAGATGATTTGCTTCCCCACTCCTCCCCACTTCCCTTCATTAACGATCGAGATTGTGGAGCTCCAGTTGTTTCAGTCCTGGTAGTCAACAAAGAGTTGAGGCAAAAGGAAATATGGACATTATGAACTTTTGCTTCATTTGGAGCTGCACAAAAGTGGAGAGACCATACTAACAGTCATAGATTGCTCATTGTGCTCCTGTACTAACCCAGGAAACTGAAAGAAAATGCATTAGTAACATACCTTTTCATTATTGTACAATGTGAACAGAGTTTACAGCTACTTAGCACCAGACTCTGACCAGAACTCATCTCCAGCTGGCACTGTCAGTGGAAATTGTCGAAATATTAACCCTGCCCCAAACAAGATGTTTTTGTGCCTACCTGAAGTTGGGCTCAGTCCAAACTGAAACCCATAGTTTAAATAAACTAAACTTGGTGTTCGCTGCAAAATGCTGTTGACGATAAAATTCATCAACCAAAATAAAAAAAAGCAGGATTTGATCCAATAATTCTTTTGTCAGTTGGAGAACTAGGTAAAGAGTTTCTTCAAATCACCTTTAAATTATGGCCAGTTATTTCTGAGTGGATAAAACAGACCACCCATACATGAAGTTGATACACTTCTGATTCAGTCTGCACATCGATCCGGTGAAACAAGTTTACTGTCTGTCCACATTAAAACAGCTAGTTCAATGTGAGAGTATTTAAAGCCCCATTCATTGAATACAAGGTGAGATAGAAAAGTGCGCTCTCCTACCTATATATAAAATACGTCAGAAATAAAATGCACTGAGTGCAAAGAATAAAAATACATGGCCAGTCCTTCTTCCATTTCTCATGGCTTCTCTCTGTGTTGGGCCTACTGCAGTGAGTCGCTGTTGTCTAAGGCCAGGCCGCTAATGTTTGTTGCAGACAGATCACTGTCATCTTCCTCGACACTGTTGCCAGAATCCTCTCCACTTTGTCCGGCCATCATAACCTGTTGTACAGCCAGAGTTGCTCCATCAGACGACAAAGACTGCAGACTGTCCACATTCACATTCACTGGACTTGATATTGAGACCATCGCACCTGCAAAGGGACATAAGGGCATTTAATCTACACGTCAATCAACTAGACAGTGAGTTTCAAAGTATGGAGTGTTTATGGCAGGGACAGCAATTAAAGACCCCATGCTGTGAGTAAATAAGGGAGCAATAGCCTACTGGTAATGTTACTGTATGAATAATCCAGACATCTGCGCTGATGTTCTGGAGATGTAAGATCAAACTTCACAAGTGTGGCTAGGGCAATTAAAACCAACGAAATTGATATATCTGGAACCAAAACAGTTTTTACAGGAATGATGACCATGAAATTATCAGATTAGTGAGTCTAACTGGTTCACTAATGTCCTTTCGGAAAGGAAGTCTTTATCTGGTCCAACCTCCATGTGACTCAGGCCACAGCAATGTGGTTAACTCTTAACTACCATTTGAAATTGTAAAACTCTCAGTTGCAACAAACTGCTACAGAAAAAGTGAATAAGAATAAAGTTGGACCATTGACATCATCAAGACATTAGAAATGACAAAGGCACACCCTGCCCAGTAAATCCTGACTAACACAGGGACTCATGCCAAACAAACACAAAGAATGCTAGAAAAACTCAGCAGGTCTGGCAGCATCTGTGGAGAGAGAAACAAAGTTAATGCTTTAATTCTGGTCTGACTCTTCTGTCTCCCCAGATGCTGACACCTGCTGAGTCTCACTAGCATTCTCTGTGTTGGTTTCAGAATTCCAGCATCCACGGTATTTTGCATTGATTTGTGCCAAAATTGGAAGAGCTGTCACAGAACAGTCAAACAACAGCCTCACATAGTCATTTTCACAGAATCATATGCAGCCAATGTCCCAGACAACACTATCACCATCTCTAGGTATCTCCCATCTCACCATCAGAACCGATCAGCAGAAATAGTTGGCACAGAGGCATACAGCTAGGAGTGAGTTGTCTGGGATCCTCAACATTGACTGATGATCCCATGAAGTCAAGTGGTATCAGGTCATACATGGGCAAGGATACCATGTAGTAAATATCACCTACTGATTCCCATTTGTTGTTGAATCAGTATTCCTCCACATTGAACATGACTTGGTGAAAGCATCGAGGGTGGCAAGATGTAGAATGTACTCTGGGTGGGGGATTTCAATGTCCATTACCAACAGTGACTCAATAGAAGCGCTACTGATTGAGTTGGTCAAGTCCTAAAGGACACAGCTGCCAAACTTGGTCTGCAGCAAGTGATAGGGAAACCAAGAAGAGGGAAAAACCCGTCCTTACCAACAATGTTTGCTGCAGATGCTCCTGTCCATGACGGTATGTGTAGGAGTGAACGCCGCACAGTCCTTGTGAAGACAAAATCGTGCCTTCACATTCAGAATATCCTCCATCGTTTTGTGTGGGACTACCACTGTGCTAAATGGGACAGATTTCGAACAGATCTAGCAACCAAAACTGGGTACCAGGAGGCACTGTGGGCCATTAACAGCGTCAGCATGAAATGTTTTCAACCACAATCTGTATCCTCATGGCCCGGCAATTTCCACCAAGCATAAAAACATAGGAACTGGAGTAGGCCTTCAGTTCTTTGAGCCTGTTCTACTATTCAATGAGAACGTGGCTAATGTGTGGCCGACCTCCATATACCTGCCTTTAGACCATATCTCTGAATCCCTTTGCTCAACAAAAATTTACCTACTCAGATTTAAAACTAATAACTGATCTAGCATTACCTGCAGTTTGTGGAAGACAGTTCTAAACTTTTACCAACCTTTGTGTGTACAAGTGCTTTCTAACATCTCTCCTGAGCATCTGGCCCTAATTCTCAGATCATGTCCCCTGGTTCTAGAATTTCAAACCCGTGGAAAGATTATCTACCCTGTACTTTCCTGTTATTATCTTGAAGACTTTAATCACATCACCCTTTAACCTTCTAAATTCTAGAGAAAACAGGCCTAATTTGTATAATGAAAAACAGGAGAGGTCTGGGAGAGGGAGGCTCTGAGCTGGGGTAGGCTTGATTGTAGTGCCTGGAGATGCTGGCGCATTGCTGCAAGTGTGTGTTTCAGGAGTCGCAGGGAGAAACGCTTCTGAAGGATCTCAATGCCATGAATGTAGATATTGTCACGGTTGGGGCCAAATTGGGAAGGCTTGAATGTGGATTGTAGTCCATTGGGGATGATCTGGTTCCGTAGGCAGGTACTAAGAAAGGTGATGTGGCT